GGGGGGGGGGGGGTTATACGTAGACAGAAAGTACATTTCAGTTTCCAAGGGAGTTGCGGTGAAGAAGCGATGAGGACTGATAATAAGGGCGTGGTGCTGATGCAGCGCTCCCCGTGGATGAATAGGCCACGCTCTCCCGCTGCTGCTCATGGTGGCAGACCTTCTGCTGGTACTTCCGCTGTTTCTCCTGGTGGTGTTGTGACTCCTCGTGGGCGATCCGTCCCGCTGAAGGTGCGGGCACGGTCTGAGACACGCGGCTTTTCCAGTCCCAACAACGCCCACGCCGATGCTGGCGGGGATGATGGGGTGTACCAGCGTTTCTGGTCCCAAATTGTGCTCCGCTCCACCAGCGGATTCATGTTCGCAGTGGTCATCGCGGTGATGTACTCTTTGTATATTCTGTGTCTCCCGTATGGGGACAGCATCAGCTTTGGCATTCTCTTGTCCGTCGTCCTACATCCACAGAGCCGTGAACAGTGCTCCGACTCCAACGCCGCCAGGCGGGAGTGTGTCGAGCGGATGCGTGGCACGCAGCAAGCCTGGGCGTCGCGGACTGCGCTCTCGGGCGTCATCGGGCCGTTGGCGTCACTGCGCCACTTCGTGTCGTATGCGCTGATGCAAGGCGTCATGTTTCTTGGCCTCAACAAACTGTTATTGGCTGTACAGTGGCGGTCGGGCCGTGGTGGTGGCGGGAAAGTCAAACAAAACGGAAGCAAAGACAAGAAATTCCTAATAGCCTCATCCAACGGTCGCCTGACACTCCGTCTTCTCACCGTGTGCATCTTCTCCGTCGTTGCCCACACAATGATCGGCATTTCATTTTTTCTCGGAATGCACGCTGTGCTCTTTGCACTGTTTGCTTTAACAGTCACCCTCATGTCAGAGGAGCGTTTTATGGGAACAATGTGGCGCGTGTGGCGATTCGCGCTTGTGCTTTTCTTTGTCATTGGACTTTCCTATAATCTTGCACTGGATGTGCTTTCCATCAGCGATGCGGTGAAGCGCACGACGACGGCGGTGGTGAACGCACAGCATGAGTGGACAAGAGCGACAAATTCAGTGGAGGCAGCCAATGTCTCGAGTGATGTAATGTTCCGCGTGGAAGAGCATGGCACCTCTGCCTCCATGAATTCCACCTCTTCAGCATTTGAGTTCCAGGAGCTGGTTCTTTCAAAGCTTCAGCAAACGGTGCTAAAGGAGCTGGCAGACATATTGAACCACACGAACGCAACAGAGCTCGCAGTTACTGTTCGTCGCATTCTTACCCCAATTCTTTCGACATCCCCATCACAGTTCAGCGTTGTATTTTTGAAGAAAAAAACAGACGAATTATCAGCATCCTTCTTCACCAGGGGGAACCCGCTGAAAACAGTGGATTGGGTCAGTGTGATGCAGAGAATGATGAAGCGTTGGAGGCCATTCTTTGTCTTTTCGACACAGTTACTGTTCATGTTGGGATCAAATATGATTGGACTCTTTGACTCCGTCTACGCTGTGATGCTGTTTGTCTTTGTGCTGCGGTACTTCTTGCACCTCGACCACACCATTCTGTACTACGTGATTGCTAAGATGCTCAAGGCAATTCACCCACGCGGTGGAGAGTGGCATGCACGAAAGATTGAGCGTGAGATCACCGTATCATTCCTCACGTTGCTGCAGTCGTTCTGGCACCTCACCTGGTTTCATTTCTGCATTACATTCTGTCTCTTCAACAAGTGGTCCTTTATTACCCCTTTTCTCTGCGGTCTGGTGTCTTCTCTCACGGCGGTGTTCCCTCTCATACCCAAGTGGCTCTCCCCCGTCGCCTTCGCGTTGCTCTACGTTCTCGTTGACGCGGCGAGGTATCAGGGCCTGTTGGGCGCTGCCGTGGACCCGCGTGTGTGGAGCTGCCTCGCCGCGTTCGTGGCGTCGTACATGGACGAGTGGCTGCTTTGCGTATCTCGAGGGCTTCGCGGAAACTCTGTGCGGGACTCCTCTGGTGTGGAGCGGGAGGAACTGCCGACGTTTGTCATTGGCACAGCCTTGGTGCTTGGCTACGTGAGCTACGGTGTGCGCGGGATTCTGCTGGGCCCGTTAACCGTAATTGTTGCAAAGGTGCTCTTTGACAACTGGGACACGGTGTCCGATCGTGACATGGCCGCGTCGATGACGTCGGTGGAGCAGGAGGAGAAGTTGAGAAGGCATGGTGAGACCATGTAGCGACGTATGCTCTGAAGGGACGAGGTGGGTAGGAGTGAGAGGAAGCGGGATATGAATCATGGCCCCTTACTCGTGTACACGAGTTTCTTCGTTTTTGTTCTGCTTCTTCCCCTTGGGCCCGGTTGAAATGAATGTGTATGCGCGCAAAGAGGCCAAATGTTTTTGTTGTTGTTTTGTGTTGCTCCACGCACCCCTTCCCGCCATCATACAAAGAGGGGGTCGAGAATGGGGCATCCCAGTGACTGGCTTCCCAAGGTATATTTCGCAAACACGCACCCATGCGTGTCGGAGCTCTTCACCTCTTGTGCTCAAAGTGGTCCTGCACATGTGTGTGTGTGTGTGTGTGTGT